CCGAAAAGACCTACCTTTTTGGGGTTCCGTATTATGGTTTCTATATCGAGTTCCTGACAAAGGTAGGTCTTTTCGGTTAGAGGTAGGGTTTAGGGTTTAGGATAGGGGCTGGTGGTTGCCAGGAGATACACAGATAGAGTGACGGCTTTGCATCGTGTACGATCTGATGAGAGCCTCAGCTTCTGGTTGCACCCCACTTACAATAGGCTTAGTCGGCGGCTTAGTCATCGTGCTGAAATGGCAAAGGGTGCTTGAAGGAATTTCCGTAGAAAACCAGAGAGGTCACCGAGAGCCCCACGGTTGCCTGTTTGCTTGCAGCGGGTCGCTGATTGAATTTGTTTGGCACGGGATCTAGACCGTCAACATTATAAGGGTTCGGGGTTTAGGGATCCCTTGGCCTAAATCAACGCTGCGAGGGGTATCCCTCCCCACGCACTATAGTTTTGGTGATTTAATCTGTTGGGGGCCGTGTTTCAGCAATAAACAACCATGGGAGGGGGGAACGGCGTTCGACACCTCGCCGTTTTTTTTTGTCTGCTTTCGTGTTGCCCGGCTGCTGCATGGTTCGAAGACGGTCAGCACCTCCTCTTCCCTCCAGCTGCGTGCCTGGTCAAACTGAGTCTGAGGGTGTGCGTGCCTTGGTCAAACTGAGTCTGAGGGTGTGTTTTTATAGCTTCGTTCGCGAGAATCTGTCCATCTGCTGCCCGTCGCCCTTGACCTCCAACGCCGCTATCCAGGACGTCCATGGATGCAGCGAGCCGCTGCAACCTTGCAAATGGGACGGGAAGTACGCATGCTGGCGTGCGAAGTGTGCCCCAGCGATCTTTAGAGCCCTTTCAATCTTTTTCTCTCCCACGAACCTTTCGCAGGCAGCATGACTTCCTTCACTGCCGACGGCTCTGTCCGCAAGTCGTGGCATGACATGTGGAGGCTGACCATGGAAACAGGATATTCAGTTCGTGTCGCCGAACCTTGGGTGCCTCAGGCGTGCTGGGATGTCAAGCTGGGCTTCCTGCACCAGATGGCCCACCCAAGGAGCTGCAAGCTCGGATGCGCACCGCAGCACCGGAGGCGATGCTGTCCTTTGACTTTTGGACCTGCAAGACCTTGTGCGAAGCCTGATCCGGCGACTGCAGCAGAGGCATCTAGTGCAAAGGCTCGCGGCAGCGGTCCCTCGGCTTCAATAAGACTGTGATCAGACCTGTTCAGGCGATGCTGGTGGAGTTTTCTTCGGAGGGCCGCTGCGAAGCGCCGGAGCCGATGCTCTCACATGGCTTCGGGGTCAGACTGCAGGGGCCTGCAGGGGCACCCGTTCACGAAGCCTGGTCAGGAGATGTCGGCGGGGATGTCCCTTCTTGCCGGCGGAAATTTCTGATGCCGTGCGCGCTGCCGCGATGCTTGTGCTGCAGGTTTGTAGTTATTAGTTATTACTGTGGGACCTCTTTTGCTGACTACTTCCGCATGTCCATGCATACCACATCTGCTTGTCGTGCAGCAACTGCTGAAATTCCAGGCCCCGGAATACAAGCCTCCGGCAGAGAAAGGCGAAAGCAAGGCATCCAAAGGCAGCGACAAGGCAGGGTTGCATAGACCATTTTCGATCGTTCATTAGCCTGCGATTTGTCCTGACGTCACTGCATGACCGCCAGGTCAGCCAAAGCATCGCCGCCTTCAGCGAGCTCCCTTTCGGGAAGTCTAAGGCCGGGCTCAAGGCATGGCCGAGTAATTCCAGCACATGAGAGCGCTGTTCGAAGAGACCACCGGGTCCCTGACAACACGTATGCGCAGTGTCGGTCGCGTGGCCTTGTGCGGCATCCTGCCCCGAAGCTATCCTAAGCTTGCCTCGACGGTATCTTTGCTCAGGAAAGACCTCCTGGACGAGGATGGGTGCATGCTCCGTTTGTCGACCGAATCCGCCTGGACTACGTCGGCCGACCGAGTGGGAAGCTTTTGGCTTCAGAGGTACATGACCAAGAACGGGGTAGACTTTGGAAGCTTGGTTCTCCTGCACTTCCAACGAGCGGCTCCCACACCTGAAAACGGGTGCGGTCGCTTCTGGGAGCTTTTGAAAAGCATCCAACGTCATACGGATATGACACTACCTCTGCCATGGACTACCAAGTGACACAACAAAATGTGCCACTCGTCTGGATGGCTTTCTTTTGCGCAGGGGCTGCGCAGACACGCAGCCATGAAGAGGAGGGTTGCAGCACCGTTGCTCACCGCAGAGGAGGTAGCACCAAAACGAGGAAAACACCAGCCCCTGCCGATCCTTTAGCGCAAAACACCACCACCCCCTAAAGCCTCCAGGCTGGTGAATTACGTAAGGTGTGGTCATGGTTTAAGGGCTGGAAGTTTAGTAAGTCAGGCTTTGCTTAGGGTTTATGGAAGTTTATGGTTTACAGTAGATGATGCTGTTGACCTGCCAACCTCGCCAGTCCATGGCCGTGATCGCGCCCTACGCGGCACAGCGGAACCTGTTGGAGAGGCCCGTGGCTGAAGCCCCCGAACCCTGGCCCCCAAAAACGACAGACAACCCTAATCCAAATGCCCCAAACCCCTAAACCCCAAGCCCTTTGTTGGTAAAGGGGTGCTTCCGGAGTTATTCAGTGGCAAGAAAAGTCGCTCCGCTACCCAAAACCTCTAAGCCCGGCCACCACACCCTAAAATCCTAGTCGAACCGTAAAAACCTTCAACCCCTGCATCTTCAGCAGTTGTCTGTCGTCTGGTTGCACAGTTTAGGGTTTAGGGTTTAGGGTTACAGGTATCAAGCCGTCAGTCACCCCTACACGGTTACTCTAGGCGTTCACGCACCTCATACTCGCACACTCCATGACATGCCGACTTGAACCACTGCTGTCCTACATCCCAAATGCTAAACCCTAAACACTAAACCCTAAAGCCAGGTACTTCAGTATTAGGTCTTTTGGGCCGTTTATGGATCGTTGGAAGCCAGGATTACGTGCTGGTGAATTTGTCACTAAGCGAAGACATACGACCGATGATACCAATTCTATGCTATGACATGTACTCTTTCTCGTTAGTGCTTTGGGCGTAGAGGTTTTTAAGGTTTATAGGGGTTGAGGGTTTAAGGTTCAGGGTTTCGTATATGTATTGGTATATGGAGTCTGTATACTTAGCAGCGATGTTTGTTTTCCAGTTTCGCCCAAAAAACACCCAAATCGTAGACTTAGCACGAAACCCTGTGTTCACACATCAGATCTTCTAAGCCCTCCTCGTACATGTTGGCGAACTTGTGTTACGGGTCCTCTCTCTCACTTTCTCTCTCTCTCTCTCTGTTATTTGTCTTTGTTGATGTCTCTGTTTTTCTTTGTTTTTGTTTTTCCATCGTTCTGTAAACCCTGTAACCCTTGAGCCGTTTTTGATCCGTGAACCCTAAACCACTTTACGAATGGCACTATGGCCGACGGATATTTTTTCAGAGTTTACGGCTCAGGTTTGAGGGTCTGGGGCCTAAGGTTTTATTAGTCGAACAGGTTTTGGAGTTTCGAGAGGTTCACGTGAAGCCGCAATTTTGGTGCCGGCATCTCACAACCATATTTTGGTGTGCGGACGGTTTTTGTTGCACATCTCAATGTCTGGAGCCGATACCCCATAGTGGTCACTGATACCACACAAGAGCTTAGCGTTCTCAGTTAGGGTGATTTGGATTTATCCTTTCAGGCACTTCGAAGCGGGACTTCAACCTATTCTTTCTTACCCAACCCACACCCGTGGCAAGCCCCCTGTGGTCGTCATGCTTACTTGACACTAGACTCCTGTGAACCCTAAACCCTGAACCCTAAGCCCTAAACCCAAGCCCGAACCCCTGAAACCGCACACTTAGCAATCTTCCAAGAGGCGCCAAAATCTGAACCCGAAGCCCCAAAACTCGAAAACCTAAACACGACAACGCTAAACCCCTAATCCTGAGACCCCTAAACCAAAAAAACCGTAACCCCTTGTAAGCCCCTAAAAACCCTAAAGTCCTAAAACCCTAACCGCAAAACTCTCAACCCCAAAGCCCTGAACCCCGAAAACCCCTAAAAGCTCCAAACCTAAAAGCTCCAAACCCCAAACCCATCTAAACCCTAAGCTCCTAGAAGCCCTAAAACCTCCAAAAGCCCTAAGCAAGTCAGAGAGGCGCCTCTCCGAACTGGGTCTGCGGCATCCGGGGACCCAGGCGCCCTGAGGTAATTCTTTTTGGTTTTAAACTGGGTTTGGGAGTTTAAGGTTTAGGGGGTTTAGGGGGTTTAGGGGCTGGCGGTTGCATCTTTTGCTGCACACTTTCGGTGTGAGCACATAAAGCACAAGAGCCGAAATCCCAAAGGCCCACATCCTACTGTAGGAGCGGCCTTAATCATCAGAATACATAGGGTTTTGAGAAATCTGATACTATAATTATAAGAAGGAGCCCCCAAAATAGTAGGCCCCTAAGTTAGTCACCTTCCAAAACCATTCAGTGTAACTTCGTTTACGGGACCCTTTAGAGATCCTTACAGCGCACCATTTCGGGCAGACGGCCCTAAACCCTACCTGGACCCTAAAGAACCTACTTCTGTAGGGCTCCGTATTATGATGTCTTTAAACAAGTCCTTAGAAAGGTGGGTTATTTGGGGTTCAGGTAAACCCTAAACCCTTTTTGGGTCACCTTGTGAAAGGTTGCTACGGTGGATGCCCTCCAGGGAGACGAGCGCAACTCGGAGTTGCAACGAGCAAAGGGGGCCTTAGAGATATGCACGGTTTTGGGTTTTGGGCTTCGGGCTTGTTTGGTTTCGGGGTTTCGGGTTTGTTTGGATTTACAGCTTGGAGGTTCAGGGATTGCATGTTGGGATTCAGTTTAGATTCATGGCTTGGAGCTAAGGGCTTGTTGGGGTTTTGCGATTTAGCATGTCCCGGATTGGTGTTTGCAAAACGCCTTCTCACCGGCCGGAGATTCCAGAAGTGTGGCTTGTGCGAGGCTAGGCTTAGAAGCAACTTTTCGGATTCTTGGGAGTTTTGAGCGCGCTGCTTCATAAAGCTTTGCATAGTATGCATTTGTTAGTTTGTAGGCCTGACAAGTTTTGTCCCCATGTAATCAATGAGGGCTCACTAGTTCTAATCTAGGGAGCAGGGGCTCTTCCAACCCTCCAGAAGTCCTAATTCAAACCCAATGAAGTTCATCGAACCCCTATAGAAGGTCAAGCCTTCTAAAACCTTGTATAGAAACTGCGTAACATTCTGTAGAACCTGATTTGAATCAATATAGAACCTCTCTAAACCCTAAACCCTTAAAGTCCCTAAACCCTAAACCCTAAGATCCCTAAGCCCTAAACCCTAAAAATCCTTATCTTCTAAACCCGAAAAATGCCGAAACCCTAAATCCCCAAAACCCCTAAACCCTAAAATCCCTAAACTCTAAATCACTAAACCCTGGACCCGAAAACTCCCTAAACCCTAAACCATAAAAATACCTAAACCCTATAAACCCTAAAAACCCTTAAACCCTACCCATAGGCCCTAAAGTAGTTCCTTTTTGGGGTTCATATATAGAATCCTATAAGGTAACCCCAAAAGGGAACTACAATGGGGCCTATGGGTAAACCCTAAATATAAGCCGTAAAATCCAGAACCAGCAATGGCTTTTACCCCCAGGCGAGGTCGTCGTTTTCTCCGCGACGCGCAGCAACGACACCGGAGCCAAGCTCTCAACGATTTCGGTGTTTTTAGGGTTTTTTTTAGGGATTCTTAGGGTTTCTTAGGGTTTTTAGGGTTTTTGTTTTTATGTTTTTTTAGGGATTTTAGGTTTCTGTTTAGGGTTTTTAGGGTTTTCCCATTTCAGATATTTGCCTCTCTGTACAAAGTTCTGCTTAATGTGTATATAGTATGTGTATATATATATATATTTATATTTATACTTATATTTATATTCATATTCTTGTGTGTGTGTGTGCATATAAAGGTTTATATATATATATATATACATGCACAGAGATGTATGAAAGGTGTGTGTGTGTGTGTATAAGCCTATGTCTATGCCATGCCCAGCTCCCTGCCTCTGTCTGTGTCTGTGCCTCTGAATACTCAAGGCCGGCACTGTCCGCAGGGCTTCTAGATTCTAGTCACTGTCCAAAGCACAAGATTTGATCACCTTCTTGGTTGACTCATTCTTTCTTCAACTGTCGTTGACTTGCCTGCCCGACAATCCACACCATGTTTTCTTCAGTTTCTTCGCGTCGGGAATTCTCCCAGGCTCGCTCGGGTGGCACGACAATGCTCTATATAGTCGATGCGATTGTTCCGGTGCAGCCGATGTCGTCGAATCTCCGTAGGAGTTTCTGGTTCAAGAAAATCGTCCACAGACATGTCGCCACTGCTGTCTACGCTTTCTTGTGCTTGATCGATCCCAGGAGATTGAATTGGCACACTGCTAGCTGAAGCCGAAGCGGATGAAGTAGGTTCAGCTCGCCGTTACCAGCAGTTGATTTGCATTGTGTAGTATTGTCTTGTGTTATACTAGGTCATGCCAAATTGCTTTACGTCGTGCTGCACTGCATTACATCACACTGTGTTGCATTTGTCGTGTGGTGCAGTGTAGCGTGTTGTCTTCTGAGGAATTAGCCTTTATTATATTGCTTTGTTAGCAAGCTATACTGAGTTATATTGTATTGTGTTTTTTTGAATCTCGTATTATCGTCCATAATAGCTTACATTTCATGTGCTATGTTGTTGTGTATTGTATTCGACCACGTTATTTCATATGCTACATGCTGCAGTTTGATATGGTAAGGTGTCATATAATTTTTGCCCTTAGATGTTACATGAGATGGCCTGCTATCATATTCCGTTTTCTTTTTCTGGCACTATAGTGTTTCAAAAGAGTTGTTTTTATGTTTTCCATATAGAATATTGTATTTGATTGCATATGTATATGCATAGTCATAGGGATATATATATATATAT